GTCAGGACGTCAAGGCTCGGTGAACCCGGTGCTTTTATAGTTAGTCAAATTGCCTCAGAAGTATACGAAAGTTTATCTGTTTTGTCTGAGACTATAAGCCCGTGTTTTACATACGTGAGTACGCCTCCGCCCTGACGTCCTGACCTGTCTCTTCTAAACAGCTGGTATCCTGGTATAGTTAACTCACGGTTGTACACCTGCTGGTTCGGCCAAGTGGTAAGATGATAGTCTGTAGCCGTGCCCACAGACTTCCCAATGGTACCTACTGGCTCGATTTCAGTAGCTGTGATTGCGTTCGCATTATGCTTCTAAATTCACGCGCACGCTGTATTACCTGTATCAGATTCATTTTAGACGTGCTATCCTGGGCAGAATTGCACCGGTAACGATGACAATGAGGCTTACCCTATGTCAACTTTCATTAGAAGAGGTAGTTGGCTGCCGTGCCCACAGAATCCACAATTGTACCTACTGGCTTGATTTCAGTAGCTATGATTACGTTCTCATTATGCTTCTAAATTTACGCTGTATTACCTGTACCAGATTCACTGTGGAGGTATTATCCTGGGCGGATTGGCACCGGTAACGGTGACAATGAGGCTTTCCCTACATCAACTTTCATAAGAAGAGGTAGCTTTCGACTGCCTCATTATTTGCGGATTTTCTCTTCAGCCAAAACCAATTTTTCGCATAAAAGTCTTACCCGGCTTATGTTGTGGCGTTCCGCGTGCCGCTGCTTGACTCTCGTGTTCTTCTGTCTATTATGTTGGATGGAGTTCTATCGCACACACTGCGGAATGACCTTCGGACCAGTTGCCTTCTTCCCATTGGTTGTTCGCCATCACTTGCTTTTCTTTCCAATCTGAGGATAGGATGCATTTATTCCGCACACCGTTCAAAGTCTCCTTGCTCATTTCCATACCTTCCTTGTATTTTTCACCTGATCTAAATTAGGCTTCCACTTTACCTGGAGCGTCAATTCCTTGCATATACTACAACCGCCATTTACCCGTCCACTCAATTGTCCCACCCGTATGGCCCCTATTACCACCGGTCCCGATTGACAGGCAGCTGGGAGTTCGTGGTGTTAGGAGGGCTACCAAGTATCATCTAACCGGCCAAGTTTCTGTAAATGGGATTATATCCGGGGATAGATCAGATAGATGGATCTTTAGCTCTTCAACTTTCGATAAAATCCTCTGCACATTTGTATATAGAAATTTCAGTCTGCGATTTAAGGCTGGCAGAGAAGTAATTTCGATGCGTCTAGGACTTTCGCCTACTATTCCAGTTGTGCGGTCATCCGGATCGGGTCCGTCCAAAGAAAGGATGTTGGGCGCTCTCTGATTTGATTGTTGTAGATAACCAAATTCCGTTCTCCTTCGCTGAGTCTCTTCCTCAGCTTCAGAACTAGAAGACGACGTTTCAGCCTCTCGACTGGCGAGTAATCTGGTTGAAAAAAACGCCGAGGTTGGTGTCTTTTATTCTAAAGCTCCGAGATAGGATCAACCCAGTTGCTCCTTGCAAGCCAGCACAACTTTGAGAGGTCGGGAGCGTGTTGGTATTAGCAGATTGTCCGTTTTCCGAGATGGAAGGCTTTGAGTACTTCAGTTACCTCAGTGGGTACCAGGATATTGTTGAGCAAGCCTTGGAAAAGCCTTAGATCTTCCGAAACCCGCTCTTTAGGATTGTTGGCATTAGATTCAGGAAGCATCTGAATAACAAGACATTGGTCTCTGGCGATATCGTTCGTTTATTTTGTTGACATATTTCTCTCTGGTGGATGTGGTACTTTAAGGGTATTAGATGGCGGTGATGGAACACATTCTATATCGCTGTTGTATTACGTGCTCTCTTTCACTTAATTTCAAATAGATTTGGCTGCCGAAGCCCACCTTTAATCGACATTTGTGATTACAAAGGTTGGATTGTGTTTTACGGTAAGTCGATTTTATGCAAGTAAATTGAGGAGCCACATCGATGGCAGTTATAGTGGTGACGTAACCTTCCCTGATTTCGTCATATACTGCATGCATTCATGGCATATTTCGTTGAAACTGGCCTACTTTGTTTCAGTCAAAATACCGCAACCGCATTTTCGGTTACCTTTCCTCCATTTAGGTTTGCAAAATGGGCACAGAAGCAATGAGAAAGTATGAGGAAGACGCAAACGCACATGATGAAGCGGAAATTCCTTAACCATGACGGGCTTTCTCTTCTCAGCAATATATTTACCTGAATAAGTGAGCTTCTTCTGTAGTTATTCACGAAAGCCTCGGGCTATGGGTTTTAATGAGGTTTAGCGTGACACCTAGAAGCATATATTTGATTACATTTTTCAATTCCTGATTAAAACATGCCGTATTTATTGGGTCGACAATTTATGGAAATAGATGGCACCTACAGCGTGCAAGTTTTAAAGCACTCGTTTTCATTTTTTGGGTCCTGAATCCCAGGCTTTCAGATAGACTGGCCCCATGAGAGTTTGCTTGTCGTATCCGGCGATGCCCCCCGTGTGCTTCATGACAATGTGAGAGCAGGCACTGTGACTTGCGCGTGAATCAGTTTTTAGTTAGAGCAGGCTTGTGCAGCATCTACTGCACTCTCTACTCCACACCGCCGTACCCGGTGTCAGGAATTAGTCAAGAACACCGGAGGCAGATTGATAGTGTGGCCAAGCCCACACCTTGGCGCTTCACTCCAGGCCACCCAGTCCACACAAAAATTGACCGGGGTTTTAACCAACAACAACAGAAGGGGCTGGCGCCGCCGAGGCCGCACCTAGGCGTGCCATTAAACCTGGCTTGGATCCCATGGAGTAGTAGTGCCATAAAAGCCATATTAAGAAGGACGCATTGCAGCCTGATTCTTATACCACCAGATGGTAGCTCCACGCAAACACACAACACTGGGCGGACTGCGAGATCCAAGTTGTCCTGTCAGTTGGCAAACTTCCAGGACACGGCTTTCGCGCACTGTGGTAGCCTCAAGCGCGCCAGATTGATTATAGTGAGGAAAATGCGCTAAGTCGTCGACCTCACTCTCTCTCTTCCCATTCCCTGGCCTCAGTCACTGCCCGAGCCGGTCAGTTGACAGGTACGGAGAATGGACACGGTGGCCGATATATTTAGTAACTTTGTCTGTGCGCGCCACATGCACGACCTGGTTCCCCAAACACAAGCACCAGGATTTCGCACAACGGGCGTTGAGTGGCGTACATCTCACATGCGTGAGAGCGCCGTAGGTCACGCTGGGAAGGAGCCGTTTCAACCTGGCTCTCGGCTCACCAGTCTGCCACTCCACGCAAACACCCAAATAGGCAGACTGCGTGGACTGAGCAGCCTTCCAAGCCGTGGGGCTTGGCGCGCCGTGATAGTCTCAGGCTCGGATTACATATGAAGCGGAGGAGCCGCATGAAGAAGGAGCCGAGAAGAACACTTTCATTTGCGTGAGAGATGGTAGCTGTTTGTTTGTGGTGGATGATGTTGTGTGATGCAGGTGTTGGTGGGGGGAGATGTGGTGGTGTGGCGTAGCCGGTGGCTGTCTATCGCTGGTTTTCGTGCATGAGACCTAACAAGCCCATGCAGTGAGCGGGTGTGCGGGTGCTGAGGAGGGAAGTTGAGGCGAATGCGTCTGGTGCATGTTGGCGCTCCAGGCACTGATTCGCCAGTCTCTATGCGATGGATCGCAAGTGACCAACGAAGCCAATGTGTGAGGTGAAGGTGGGGTCGCAACGGGGACAGGCATGGATCGAGTTCACATCGGTGGTGTTAACGGTGGTAAGGTTGATGTTTGACGGTGCGTCAGGATGGTGTGCGGTGGTAGTGGGTAAAGTAGCCGCCGTAGCGGATGTTGAGGCATTGGAGAAGGAGGATGGTAGTGGACGTGAAGAACTGAGGTCAGTGTCGATTGGCGTCGAGGGAGGCGAGGCAGAAGTTTGCAGTGTCACATTTGGTGGTGTCGTCCGGATGCTGGATTTGGTGTCCGGAACGTCCGCAGGCATCGTAGGCAGCTCAGTGGTGATTGATCGTTGGTGTTGCGAGGTGGAGGTAGTTGGCATTTGCGAGCTTCACGTTCGACCTTGGCGGCGGTGAAGCTGTTGGCTTCGTAGATTATCGCGCCGGTCTTCACTGTCCTCCTCCAGGTCGGCCTGTCCCCGCCGAGGTCTTCGCAGTTGGATAGGCTTATTTGCAGGCGCTTCAAGAAGGTCTTCAACGTATCTCTGCAGCGCCGAACTTGATCTCATTTTCGGCGGGAAGCCGTGGCGACATCTCCATAGAAGAGCCGTTTGTGTAGCCGCTCATCATCCATGCGCACAAGGTCGTCGCTCCAGGCAGTTTCAGTTGTCTCAACATGACCTAGATACTGTGGATTCCCGTCCGCTGCAGTACGTGCGTGTCCTGGAACCGGACCTGCTACCTCAGCTTCAATATTCGTCGTAGACAGCTAAGGCGGAAGTAGTTGAGTCTCCACGCCCGCTTCTTATACACTGTCCATGTTTCCGCTCCATACAGCAGCGTCGGCAGAATGATTGTTTTTTACATCTTCGGTTTGGTGTTGAGATGGAGACTGTGTCGATTCCAGACTGTCTTTTGTAGACGATCGAAGGTTTGGCTGACCTTGGAAATCCGGCTGCCGCTTCATCGTCGGTTTTGGTGTTGCGAGAAAGGATGCTGCCCAGATAGGTGAAATTGCCCATGGCTTGCGTTTGGGTGCCGTTCACGTTGATTTGAGGTGCGTTGTAGGCAGCGTTGGGTGGCGGTCGGTGCATAACCACCGTCTCCTCCGTGTTGATGACCAGACCGAAGTTATCGCAGGCAGCAACAAAGAAATCAATGCTCCGTTGTATGTCAACTTCAGAGGTGGCGTTGATTGCGCAGTTGTCGGCGGAGAGAAATTCATGGACGGTCGTTGTCGATAAACGCCATCGGGAGTGCACTCGCCATCCGTTCTGTAGGCGACGCGGATCTGAGGGCGTCTGTTTCGGTCGGCGTCCATTAGCATGGCAGAGGAAATGAGACTGATGAGGGTGAGCGCGAGGACGCAGCCCTGCTTCACTCATTTGGTCTTTGCGATTGCCTCTGAGACAGCCCCATTGTCCGTGACTAGCGCCGTCATGCCATCGTTGAGCTGACGCAGCCGAATTTTTGCATGATCTTCCACAGTCCTTCACGATTCACCGTGTCGAAGGCTTTCGTCAGATCCACGAAGGTAGAGTACAAGTGGGTCCGAATCTCCTAACACTTCGCCTGTAGCTGACGAGCGGCGAAGATCATGTCCATGGTCCCGCGATGACGAGGGAAGCCGCACTGGCTTTCCGGTAGAAGGCCCTGTTCCAGATGGTTATTGAGGCGGTTGAGGAGGATGCGAGGGAAAATCTTCCCCGCAAGGTTCAGTAGGGAGACGCCTCGATGATAGTCGCAGATCGGGCGATTACCTTTCCGCTTGTAGGGATGGATGATGGTGGCGTCCTCGAAATCCTGAGCGACTTGTGACAGACGTTACATATGTCAGTAGAGTGCTGTCAGGTGATTCACAAGTTAGGCGTCGACGTACTTGTGGATGTCAGCGGGGATCGCGTTCGATCCGGACGCTTTCCCGCTGGAGATTTGGCACACGATTCTGATGGTTTCGTGTACAGAAGGAGGGGGGTCGAGGTCGGCGTTGGTCTCCACTTGAGGCAGACGAACGATGGCGGAGACTGAGGTGATGGAAAGGCGGTTGAGGACGCCTCTGAACTGTTCGGGTCATCGTTGTAGAAATTGCATCCTCCCAATGAATAGGGTGGTTCCGTCGGCGGTGAGAGGAGGAGCGTTTTTCTTTGGCTGTTAGTCCGTAGACCTCCTTGGTCGCGGAGAAGAAAACCTTCCATTCGTTGTGTTCCGCGTACCCTAGGATCTCCTCCGCCTTAAAAGCCATCCAAGAGTCCTGCATCTCCCGCAGCCGCTGTTGCACAAGGCGGCGACTGCGGTAGAAGGCTGCATTGTTGTTGTCGGTGGGGCGGGTGACGCAGGCTTTATGCAGGCGGTTATTCCTCCTGGTACGTGGTTGCGTGTTCGTGATTCCTATCACCCACACGAAACTTGTTTACTCCGGGAAGCCAATGGATCTGTGTGCCCCCACTCCTGAGTGAGTAAATACCCGATCTGCAGCGACAGAGAATGGCAGGTGGCGAGACACTGATGATCTTCGGTTCGAGGAAGTGCTTATGACCCATCTGTTGGACTCCAGTGGTGAACCAGCTGCGTCAGGTGTGTTTGTGCGCATGTTTGTGTATCTGGTTCCAGCTGGTGGTCAGGGTTCAGAGTGGCTGAATGAAGGCAAAGAAGCTCGAAACAGTGTTGTATCACGAATGGAAGAGAATATGCGCATCCCAGGTTACCGTTTAAAAGAAGACGAAGGCACGACCACTGGGACGGTAGATCTGTTGGCCTTAGCTTTCGAACTCCAACTGGAGCTCATCATCAGAGACTGCTAGAATGCAGTAACGTCTGAAAATTTATATAGTTGTGCCGTGAGTGGGAGGACTACGTCCTTGGCTAGGTCTGGTTTGTGCTGCCTGGGCCACAATGGTCCCCGGCCTGGTGACGGCGCTTGTACGCCCCGGCGGTGTGAGCTGCGCCACCTGGCTGCGTGGGCGGAGTGCGTGATAACGTGCTGGCTAATCGATGTGTCTATTGATAGAGTTGGTGTCCGACACCCACGTCTCCAGCAGTTCTCGCCCCGTCTTGTTGCCGGCTCGCGCCAATATCCGCGTGTTGGCGAAGTCGAACTCATGGCCTTCCTCCAGCGTGTGGGTGGCGACTTGAGATAGTGGGTCGTCTCTCCGAACGGCCTGTTTGTTCTCAAGTGATCGCGAGCTGGGACGCCGTTCTGTCTGGCCTGTGTAGTGGCAAGGACAGCTATAGCACGGGAGTTGATAGACTACGCCCGACTGCTCACCTGCGTCCAGCCGATCCTTCATTTTCATGATTCTGCTACGCATGGTAGCTGCCGGATGATGAGCGATGCCCACGCCTAACTCTGACGCAATGTCTTCTGTGGCCTCGGATACACTCTTTATCTAGGGTAGGGAGTGTCAAATTGTTGGTGTCTCTCTTCCGTTTGTCGGACGTGGGTGCGTGCGTATGCAGTGCACCTATCCCGCAGACTCTGTCGTCTCCCATCTATTATCATAGCTTGGTCGACTTCGGCCTGACAGGTGGTTGCCTGTTCGTGACCTCTATCACTCCTACGAAGCTTGGTTGCTTCGGGAAGCCAATGGGTCGGTGCGCGCCCATTCATCAGTGAATACATATACATGGGTAGTGGTGTGTAGGGTGTCCAATGGTGGACCCACGTGATGTTCGTAGTAGGCCACTCGCTTGCTTGCAGGTGTAGACTACGTCTAACGTACATTAACTGGCCCTCAGCTCTCTCCTATGACTCTCTGAAGTTAGGCTCTTCGTAGCGGTCACATCCCGGTAATCGCCTCGGCTGGCGGACTAAACCAAGTGTGGATATCCATGTGAGCATCTCCGCACACGGTAACTCGCCTCCAGTCAGAATCACGCGAAGTGTATGCGTATTCGACTCGTGTCCCCAATACCAACGCGGCAGAGAAGAAGAACACGACCGGCCACAAAAAGTGTATCTGGAAACTGCAAGTCGTCCTTTCTGGAAAAATGACGTTTATTTATTACATCCTATAGGGTCTGGCCGATATTCGGTGTAATAAGCTTCGAGAAGAAAATTCCAGACGAGCTGACAGTTTTCACGCATGCACGGACCAATCACATTAGAGGGGAAAAGCCTATGACGAGGCGCCATCGTCATTCTTACGTGACCTCCAGTGATTGGTTGGTTCATGTCCTTGGAAGTGTAGGTTACTGACCTAGTTCTTGCCTGCTCGCTTTTTGTCTACTTGTTTGTGATTGTCCTTATTGTGTGCTAAATACCGTTCTGTTGGACTTACCTGCTCGGCGCTCACATACTTCGGCAACCACTTCGCACGGGAAAGCTGCATTTCGTCTCTCTACACTTTCCCCATCCCCCCTTCCCCTCTTCAAGTCTTACGGCGTAAGCGACAGCAAGCTGATAGGCGGCCAAAGCTAAATTTGCTCGTCCTTCCACTAAAACCCGTGACCCATAGTGGAAAACAGCAGCCGTCTGGGATAACCAGGCAACCCTATTTACGGAGAGCACTGCTCACCCACGCGAGGGGAAGGGGCTAGAAAAGGTGTCATAAACACATTGTGAGTGGTGCCCGGTGTCGTCGGAAACCGCATTGACCTTTCGGCAGGACTCCTTGTTCTAGGTGTCTGTTGAGATGATTGAGGAGGATAAAGGCAAAAATTTTTTCGGCGGTGTTGAGCAGCGAGTTTCATCCGTGGTTGCCGCAGAATTGGCGGTTCCCTTTCTGATTGTAGAGATGGGCGACGGTTGCCTCCTTGAGATCCTGAAGGACTTGCTCGAAGCGCCACATCTCCTGAAACAGCGTCATTAGTTGGTCCATCAGGTGAAGGCCTCCGTGCTTGTAGATTTCAGTTGGGATTGCGTCGGAGCATGGTGCTTTGCCGCTGGAGAGTTGTTGCACAGCACGGAGAGTTTCTGGGAGGGAGGGAGGGTGGGTGGGAAATCTAGGTGGAGGTAAATTTCCACTTGGAGGAGCCAGTAGATGACGACGTCGGAGATTGTAGAGGAGCGGTTGAGGACGTTTCTGAACTGCTCGGCCCAGCGCTGATGGACATCTATCGTGATGAGCAGCCCGGAACAGGCATCGACTACAGGGCTGATGGGCACATTCTCGATAGCCGGCAAATGAAGGCTCCGACGTCGACCTGGTCAGTCACCTGTGAATCCAGCGTCCAGGGACGGATGAACCAGTGACCTGAGCACCAACATACATCATACTCATTCGCCTTAACTGCCCTCACTGCTATCGCCCTCTTGTCTGCCTCATTGGCCGGATAGGCCACATGCGCATCCATGAGAATCTGCGAGAGACAACCGTCAGCTATACCACATCATCACACCTTTCCCAACCAACACCTTTGTAGAGGCACAGCAGTGAGAATGTGTGTAGTCCGTGAGCTACAATTATCAAGTCAAACCCCATGTTGGGAGGAGAAGATGGAAGACACCAGAATGAGGAGTCCATTGTGCTCAGAATCCGGAGTTGTCCTCTCAGGCGACAGTGGCCACTGGCGAAGCCACGGCTGATGTTGACTGCGTTCAGCCATGCCTGAGAGTCTCTGAGACAGTGGTGGCAACCGCTTTTGTAGGCTCGTGGGCCAAGCTCAATGGGTGTCCAGGCAGTGTGTGTTGCATTTGCCGAGGGGTGGTGTCCCAGTGGCTTAGATTACGTTTGCAGGGGAAAGGTGCGTTCAAGTGGCCTCATGGGCAGCTGCGGCTGTGCGGACGCAGTTATGCCCGAGCTGTTGGTCGTGTGGCTTCAGGTGAGCGCGTCTGGGACTGCTCACTGCGAAGGGGTGGATGACCTTGGAGCAGCGTGGTCTTGAGCAATGACGCCAGACCGGTCATGATGGCTGCCTGCTACACCTTCAGCAGACAACATCGCCCATCACCACACAGTGAAAGCAGTCAATCGATGCCTCTTACTTAGATGGGAAGTGTTCTTATCGGCTCCTTCTCCATGCGGCTCCTCTGCTGCATGTGAGACCCGAGTCTGAGACAATCACGATACGTCAAACGCCGTGGCTTCGAAGGCCGCCTAGTGATACCTTGACTCAGTCCACGCGGTCTGCCCAGCTGTGTGAGTATTTGTGTGGGTTGGCGGACTGGTGGTCTGAGAGTCAGGTCGCCACGGTTCCTTCTCAGCGTGACCTGTAGCACTCTCATGCATGTGAGGAGCATGTGTGTATATGAGTAGTCCCACCCAGTCGAAGACTGATTGCCTGCACAGTCTTGGAAGAGTGATGGTCCGGCTAAACGCAGTACCAGGTGTCACCCTTCTGGGAATCAAGGATTGTGAGCGTCTGTTATGTCATGATCAGTAAAACATGGCCCTCGCAGTCTGGTGTACACTGGCATTTTTATGGAACCTGATTGCATGCCGTTAGATGTGTTTGCGCTCTCGTTGTTATCCTATGTGACCATGTCGTCTTTCTGACCCGCTGTGGTGCAGTTGTTGGCTAAGATGCTGGTCAAGTGTTCGTTGTAAACCAGGGGGTGCAGTGGTACGCCTGGGTATGGGTCCGGCCGTGCCAGAAACCTGCACCCTCCCTTACCTCCGGTCTTCTTGACTATGTCTTGACACCGAACTCAGGCGGAAAAGGATGATGATGATGATGAGGAGGAGGAGGAGGAGGAGGAGGAGGAGGAGGAGAGAATGCGGTAGATGCTGCGCAGATTTACTTTCACTATAAATAATTCACGGGACTACGGTCGAATTATCATCGGTATTTAAGTGCACATACAATCTTAACTGTTTTGGCACATTTGTTTTGCTCCTCGTCTGACGGCGACCTGTGGAGCCGACGTCAAAAATCTACGAAAGTCTCTTTTCCCGTAAAACATATCTGACACCAACTTGTATTTCTTTGGAATATCTACTTTCCAATACATACGTATATTTAATATCTGACGTAGTGTGCATTCCGAGATGATATGATGAAGGAGAAGGCTGTTCGTAAAATAAAGTTGTACTCGGGACTTTACAAGTCGCTGGCATCAACCCCTCGTCAGGTGAAATAAACATGAGGAAGTGAGGTTGTCAGACTAAATTAGTTGACACGACGGGGCAGACAGTGAGAGACACAACTGGTGTGTGCAAAGGGTGGGCACATAATTGCCCACCCCTTTTGGGACGGGGATGGGAGAACTGGCACGACTCCCTATTCCGGAGGTAAAAGAGAGTAGAGATTCACTGGGACCGTATACGGCTGGATTAGTGGTCATCGATGCGTGATGGCGGCGGGAGTCAGTACGCCGGTGTCGGAGGCGTGATTCGCCGTGTCTGGGGAAGGGGTCCGCGAGACAGGGAAATTCTACATAGATTAGCGGCCTTAACTAGGGCGCAAGTCAGTGAACAGCGTACTCACCTCTTCGTAATGAGCGCCCAGATCAATATGGCGATTGATGCTGGCCGTGGTAAAGTGCCAAGCTTCAAGGAACTCCCGCAACTGTTTGGTTTTAGCCATGGCGGTTACTTCATTACCGTCCCAACTTAAGCGGTGGTCACACTCAGGAGCGTGTGCAAACCGGAGTGATGAGGGGTTACGTCGACGAATGGCAAGCTTATGCTTATTGGCATGAGTTACAAAACATCGGCCTATATGGCCAACGGGAACTGGCATTGCTTAGTTGCTCTTTAGGTATGGAGTCCTTTACTCGACATAGTGTTGAGCGTAGGGAGGAGGCCCGCTCGTGGATGATGGAGGTGCCAAGACGGTTTAACTGTCGGGAGATTTTTCAAAAATTCCACGCATGTAAAGCGGGGAATAGAATTTCGGTGGTATTAAACCTCCATTATAATCGAGGCTTTGTGGCACTCTCCTGCGTCTAAGGCAATTTTTTACAAAGCTGGTCAGGTATCCATTGAGCCGGAATAACTGATATAAATGTGCTAGTTCTTTCTGAAGTAGGTCATCGTTGCCGCAATAACGGAAGGCCCGATGGAAGAGTTCGAACGTAGCTGCAAGGTGGTTGCTTTCCTATTTAGGGATGATTTCTGCGTTACAGCTTTTTCGGTGGGTGCGTATCCGCCATCACTGGGTCTATGTATACTCACGTCTAGAAATGGGAGGGTATGTCCTGCTGCCTCTTCCCAAGTAAACTGTATAGCTCGGCAGAGACCATTCAGACTGCTACAATTGCTCAACTTCACAGGTCTGTATGGTAAAGAATGTGCCATCTGTGTAGCGGATCCACATTTTTGATTTGAACGTTTGCACAGCTTCCTCTTCTAGTCGCTGTAGGACTGGTTCCGCGAATATCCGCGCCATTGGCGAGCCCAGTGGGGCGTCCTTAAATTGTTCGTAGTGCTTGCCATCAAACAGACCATAGTTCTTTTGACAGAGCCTTAGCATGTCTAAAACGTGTTGTGCTGGAATGCCAATAGGATTTTTTTCTAGACGTCAAGCTACGTTCTCAGTTGCCAAGTCATGCGGTACTGAGGAAAACAAGGCAACAACGTCGAAGAGTAGAAGCATTCGTCAGGATTCATTTTATGGCCTTTGGTCTTCTTTAGGAAGGCCTAAGAGTTTTAACGCTGTATTGCGATCCGTCAGTGAGGTGCTTTAGGTGTCTGTATAACCATCTGGCAAGAATGTAAGTGGGGATCCAATGATTAACACCATGATCCTCAGTGTTGCATCTGCCTTGTGCATACATATGTGCGACACGAGGATCACTGAGGGTCCTAAATTTGGAGCTTATGAGTTTCAATGCAACAAGTTCATTCACTTTCTTCCTTACAGCCGCGGCCTGCATTTTATTGGTTCAAGCGAGAGGTGTCTGGGCTTCCCTGTTTTCCTCGTTGAGTCAAAATAAATTATTCGAACTTTGCCAAAACGCCTTTTATATATGTGGACGCGGTAGACATCTGGTGGATTCTAGATTAGCTGCTTAGGAAATCCTGCATTGGAAATCAGCTTACTGTATCATATTTGGTGGATTCCATACGTTGCAGTAGGTTGGATGAGTAACTTGACCATAAATGTGATTAAACGGGGCTCCCTAAAGGGCAGCGTAGCTCAGGTGGTTAGAGCGTTGGCTGTACTCAAGGCTTCACCCTTCTGTCGTGGGTCACAATCCCACCGAGGTCGTCCACTTTTTCACATTTAAGTCGAAATAAACTAACTTTCATTGTTTGAATTCTCGAATTTCTTAGAGAAAGGTATTGTCAACGCTACGGCTGTTCAAGCAACAAAAGCAACCATCTGACGAACCTTTCTATGCGTGAAGAGCGAATCTGACCTTTCCGAAAGACAGCCGAAAAAATCATCAGTTTCAGGTGGTCCACCAATCCGAAACTGTCTTACGCACCCTTTTCCGACAGTTCAACCGCCTTTATCGACAATTTCCACCTTGTGGTCCATAGCAAGGTGGACGTAGGGACGGTGACATGTGCATGAGTTAGTTAGATGAGTTACTTGCGCGGCATCTACCGCGCTCTCTCCTCCCTCCCCACCTGGACCCGGTGTCAAGACAGAGTCAAAAAGACAGGAGGCGGGAGAGGGCACAGTGAATGACAAGGCTGAACAGCCCATCTGCGTGTACCACAAACGACCCGGCTTCCGAACAATGGACCAGGGTTTCCACAAACAAGAAAGTGGCGGCTAGAATCACAAATGAGTTGGAATGCCATTGAGGTCACATTAAGAAAGGGTCATTGCAGTCTGACTCTCCGCACTGAGAGGACCGAGTTATACCGTCAGTTGGCGGCCTTCCAAGTCACGACTTTTAGAGCACCGATATAGTTTGAAAACGCGCCGGATCGTTTAAAGCGAGAAATTAACGTCGAGTGGTGTGGGAACGACGACCTTGTAGCGGCACAACAGTGAGAATAAGTGCTCTGAGAGCTACAACCACGAGGTCGAATCTTAAGTCGTAAGGAGAAGACGGAAGGCACCAGAATGGGGGGTTTATTGTGCACAGAAACCGGAGTTGCCCCTCAGGCGGCAGTGGCCACTGGCGAAGCCAGGACTGGTGTTGACTGCGTCCAGTTATGCCTGAAAGTTTTTCTCTCAGGCAGCAGTGGCCACCGGCGAAGGAAGGGCTGGTGTTGACTGCGTCCAGTCATGCCTGGGAGTCCCCGAGACAGTGGTGACAGCTTCTTTTGTAGGCTCGTGGGCCAAGCTCAAGTGGTCGCCAGTCGCGTGTGTTGCATTTGCCGAGGGGTGGTGTCCCAGTGGCTTGTTTTGCTGGTTGCAGGGGGCGGCGCGTTCAAGTAGCGCATGCGTAGTCGCGACGCTGTGTGGACGTAATTGTGTCCGAGCTGAAGTCGGTCAAGTGGCTTCAGGTCAGGTCGTCTGGAACGGCTCGCTGCAAGGGGTGAATAACCTTGAGGTGGCGAGGTCTTCAACAATGACGCCAGACCAGTCATGATGGGTGTCCACTTCAGCTCCCCGCCAGATACAGAACGAAGTGATGGTGTCGATCGTGAGACAGACGATGAAATGTGTGAAATTATCCAGTGCACATGCGGGTTTGAGAGTGTGTGTCGATGATGACAGAAGTGGCTCGGACTGCGTACCACGGGGATGCTGCGACCTGTACAGAGGTGCAGTTGAGGCATCAACACTGAGTGTGCTGGCGTGGTCTCGTCAACGTGTGCCGGTGAGTTGGCAGGTTGGTATGCGACGGAAGAACGTTTCGGACACAAGGCATCTCAGTGAGTGCTGAGTCGGACGAATGCGTCAGTGAAATAGGGTCATTGTCATTCAGACACCAAAATTGGGATAAAATGCTGTGGCGAAAGTGTGAAAGTCCATCGCTGTATAAAGGGAAGCATGTTGAATGTATGGAAGTAACTTACGAATGATGGTTTCGTCGTTAATGGGAGGAAAAATGTCTTGGGCAAAAGAGATGATGTTCAGATGGCAACACATTTGTAGGACTGCTCCACAGAGTTTGACTGGGGTTTGACCAGGACTTATATGGCTGATCTTTGTAGACAACATCCATCTCGAATCGCGACAGGGTAACGTCATTGTGTTTTCCTATCCATGGGCACGATGAGTGACACAGGAAAAGCAGCAGGGCAAGGTCGAGTGGGAATTCTGTGATGGTTGGGTTCAGCTACGTGTGGACGTAATTGTGTCCGAGCTGAAGTCGGTCGAGCGGCTTCAGGTCAGCTCGTCTGGAACGGCTCGCTGCAAGGGTGAATAACCTCGAGGCAGCGAGGTCTTGAACAATGACGCCAGACCAATCATGATGGCTGCCCACTACAACCTCTTAGTCGACCTCACTCTGTCTTCTCTCCCAGGCACCAGTACACTGTCCGAGCCGGCCAGTCCTCTGATGCAGGGATCAGACAGAAGTGGCCGACGGAACTGAAATACCCGTCTGCGCGTTCCAAACATGACCTGATTTTCCACACAACACACCGGTTTTTCACAAAAAGGGATCACGCGGCTGAAATCATACGTGCATGAAAGCCCGTTAGAGCATATTAAGATGGAACTGCTGAACCTAATTCAGAGTCTACCGGTCGACCGCCCTACACAAACATACTCAGGACCAACTTCAAGGTCCGACTTGTGCCATCAGTTGATAACCTTACAAACCACGACGTTTAGGGCACCGTGACAATTCTAAGTACGTCTGACTTCCTGTGGTGAATAATGCGCTGAAATGCTATGTAGGTGGAATCCCCAGAGTCAATCTCACCTTCTCTTCCCGATTCCGCGCACCAGTGGATTGTCCGAACCGGTCTACGAAGTGATACTGAGGTAGGCCCTAATGGCTGACAGAGTCAAAACAGCCCATCTATGCGTGTCATACACGACCACGTTTCCACATGACGCTGGTTAGTTGATAAGATCTCAAAAGTGTTAGCGCTACAGCAGTCACACGGAGTAGGGGCCCAGAATCACGTGAAGGGTGCCTATTTCGTGCCTCTGATGGGTGATATGGGACGATTTCGTGTGTGGCATTTGAGCTGGTGGGGAGATGTGTCTTGATATTGTGTGGTTTTCGGTGAAAGTGAGGGTAATGACAGGGGTTGGTGCGACATCGAAATTGTCCTTCTCGGTAGTTGGGGTGGGAAGGGTGGGAGTTGTCGCTGAGGATGTGGCAGCGACCATGGAGGTTGTGGTGTACGTCCGCGTGGGGGCATCGATAGTGTGAGCACGGATGGTGGCGATCTTTGTCGTAGTGACCATAGCAGATGTGACGGTGGAAGTTTTTTCGGAGGCCGTAAGTGGGGTTATCGTGTTGTTGTTTCACCGGGCCCGAAGATGTCGGGCAAGGCCGATCTAGGCGCGGAATGTCCGTTGACAGCGTGGACACGTTGAAAGTGGCAGGGCGTTGAGGTTGAAATTTGAGGATGGGCGTTTGCCACTTGTGAGTTGTTCCTTTCTTTTTTGCAAGAGCGATGCAGCTGGTTCCGTAAATTGCTACCCATTTCTTCACTGTTTCTCACCAGGCTGGCCAATCATAAGCAAGATTTGAAAATCCTTGAGGGAGGTTCATAAGG